TGAAACCATCCAGGATGATATAAACGTAGTTTCTGAAACTAATCAGGATGATGATGATGTAAACGTTGTTTCTGAAATCGTTCAACATAATCTTAATATTTCGGAAGATAAATTCGAAGAAACGATCGAAGATAATATTGTCGTTCAATTGGAAAAGCAAGATACGCAAGATACGCAAGAGACGCAAGATGAAAATAAAGAAATAGATAATTTGACTACGATTATAAATAATACAACTGAGGATAGTTGTAATACTGACAATAATACTACGAGTATATTACAGTGTATCTCTGATCTAGAAGATAAAAAAACAGATGACTTGATTCAAGATAACGTGTCTAAAATGACAAATGATGAAATATCTAAAGAATCATCTGATAGAAATGATTCAGATCAAAATAATGACCAAAATGATATTGTTGCAATGAATAGTAGTGATAAAGTATCTGAGATTATGATAGAAACTTGTTCTGAAGAAGCATTGCATCCTCCTATTGACAAATCTGTGATGGCTCTTGAAGAGAATAATGAAGTTCCCATTGAAAAAAGTGAATTACTCGTAAATAATATAAATGATCAAACTACTATTGAAAATATTGAAGATAGTTCGTCAATTTGCATTAATAAAGTATCGTCCAATTCAGCTGACATAGAACAAGATAAAGATGTAAAGTCTGAAGAAATAATAGTTGAAAAAAAAGAATTGCAATGTCAAACTGAGTTTGAGTCAGTTGTAGTAGAAAATCGCACTGAAAGTGATATTGTTGTTACACAAGCTAATTCTGAAAATTAAGTCAAACTGGATATATGAAAATAATTAAAAAAAAAATTATCTACTAAATATTGTCAACATAAAAAATAAGTAAATATAATATCTACTATTAAAATCGTAAGAAAAGAAAACAAAAACAAAAAAAATTAACAAAAAAAAACAAAAGAAAAGAAAGAAAAAAAAAAGAAATACAAAAATGCAATTGCATTGAAATTATATGAATATAATAATACGAAATGAAAAGAAATTTAGCTGCTGCACAAATTATATTTTTAAATGTTATTTCGATTATTTATATATACATATATATATAAATAATAGTTAAAACGTGAAGAGTTTTTTTTTTTTTACTATAATTTGTGATTATGTTAATAATCTTTTTCCTAGTGACGCAAGAATTAAACGATTTTTTATTAATTTTGACATTAATGTGAATGCTTTAAGCAAACATTTATTTTACAAAACGTCTCTTAAACAATAGAAACATATTTAAATTATTAATTAATTTGATATAAGTTTATTATATGTTTGCAAATGTTTATATGCAAAAATTCGCTTGTATTCATTTAAAATTGCGTTACGACATTTATATATTATTTATATTCTATTTATATAGCTATTGTTATGTTATCAAGTTTATTATTATTATTTTTTTGCAAAGTGCAATGTGATTTATTTTCGTTGTGTTTTTTTTTCTTTTTTTTTTCTTATAAATTTGACTTGCTGATTTTACGTCGAATCAGGAAAAAAAAAATGATAGTATTTTTATGTATCTCATTAGATGATCGAAAAATATTTTTATAATTCGCTTTTACAATCAGCAAATTAAAAGGAAAAAAAAAAATTA